AAACACCAAAAAAGTTTTTTTTAATTTCTTTAAAAAAAAAAAAAAAAAAAAAAAAGAAGCCACACAAACTTAGGTCCTCAACACATTTGCAAAAGAATCTTCATTAAAAAGTATTTAGACACACATATGTTAAAGGTTAGTCAGCTCACTCGTGAGCTTCTTCCAAACGAGCAATGGCCCTTCCGGTCTCCACATCCGTGGCAAGAATTGAGCAGTCTGGAGAAGCGGTCAGAACCACTGAAAATAAACAAACACATACAATAAGCAGCATGTAAAATTAACGGCAATACAAGCATAAAAGAGTGAGATAAGCGCATACCGCGGCCTGAATCTACAAACCGAACAGCTCTACAGGACTCGTCGTGCGCTTTAACCTGTAGGAGCCTAACTTAACAAACCAAAAATCATTATGAATAGCTTTAAGATTAATGATATTGCAAAAATAAAAAAAAAATTACAAAATTACAAAAAATAATTGAAGCAATAGTGACAGAAAAAATCACTTAATGTCCCCAATACCTTTCCGGCAGGGAATCTGCGCCATAACGGTACCTATTAAGATGAATTGAAGCAAAAGTTTAACAAAACCATAAACGAGCAATTTAAATTCAGGATGACGAGGGATTCCGACTCACAGTTGGAGATCGCCATTTATGAGTGCCGCTGCAACAAGCGCACTCGAAGGATGGAAATCGAGATCAAATGGCAGTTTCCCTAAATTGATCTCCATTAGCCAAAGGAGGGTTTTTGACGAAGTGAAAAGAGGACAAAAGTACTAGGGTTTCTCCTGGAGAGCTGATTCGGGGGGGATGGCGAGACGGCGAGGGAGAGAGGCGGGGAAGAAACTACTTGGAATTAATTAATTAATTAACTTTGGTTTAAGCTAAAATGATGGTGTTTTTTAGGAACAAATATTAGGTCCACCTAAACGAGACAGTAAAACAAAAAAAAATTCATTTTAGCATAAGTAAATATTCTCTCTGCATTATTTAACATTATTCAAGTATTATTGTGGTGGTATTCATATATTATTATGTTTTGAGAATATTTCTGATATTATAATTACACAATAACACATCAATACCAACACAATAACACATGAATAACGCAGAATAACATGAGAGGAATATTCTTCTGTGTTACCGTACGGGATAACAATAAAATGAGTTTGTGTAGCTGCACGAGGAGGTGATTCATTGGACTCCGGACGTTTCTCTACGTCCGCAATATGGACGTAATAATTTTTCATTTTTGAGTGGTATAAACGTAAGAAAAAGTAGGTGTAAAAATGGAACGAATGTGAATGCCCGAAAATTTTTGTAAGAAATTTAAGAAATTATATTACATATGGACATTAAATACTTTTATATTGCAAGATAAAATTTAATCTTATCTTTTTTTACATTAGTTTTTGCATGTAGAGTTGTTCATTAAAATAGAGAGGATTTATCATTTTAACTTTTCATAAAAAATTTTGCGCGCACATAACTAAATAAGGGTCTGTTTGCGACAGTGACACCGTACTTCAGTTTTGTTTATTTGAAAAGATTGAATTTTGGTAGTTTTTTCAAAAAATTGTCGCTACGAAAAATTGTAATAACCACCCCAACTTTTTAAACATCAGAATATTCTTCACCAGCTTTATAGCTGCTTTTTAATAAGTTAGAAAAAAAAAAATGTTTTTACATGAAAAATTAGGGTTGGGAAATGTCACGGCATCTACTTAAATTGACATGTTTCTACTGGTCAAAGTAATATATTACAAAGAAAGTTATTATTTGCAACAAAAAAAAAATTATTGATATAAATGCATTTATTATGATGAATGAATGAGGAGACAAGGGCCATCAAAGTCATAATCAAGAAAATCATTAATGATTTGTATGGTTGTTCTTCTTATTGGAAAAGAGAAAGGACCTAAATGAGAAAAAAATTTAAATTTAATTTTTAAATCACCATCATAAATATGTTTAGCTACTACTATTTTGTGATTTTTTTTAAATTTTGTGGTGAGAATCAATTTTTTTAGCAAACTTATAGTCAAACTTACTGGTTTGACGAGACGGAATCGATGATACTAAAATTTGTCCAATCCGAGTTAAATCAAGATCATATCAAGCCATTAAACCACTTTTAGAAGCTTTCTAAAAATATTGGGAAGGTCAAACGAATGTTGAATCAGGTAAACTTATTGTCGATCGAGTGTTTCGACAAAACGAATCCAACGAACCCAAGATCGCTCAATTCTAACATCATTAAAGCTCTCAAATATTTATCCAATGTCATCTAACCGATAGAATTTCTCCAGGTCGTCTAATCAAAATGGTTCATATTTCGTTATTAATTACAACATGGACTCTATAAATAAAGTCTCACCACTTTCTTGAAAAAGAAGGGAGAGATAACTGGAAGCATGAAGAAGACTGAAGTTAGAGAAGGAGTTAAAATCCAACATTACCTCGTCGTAACAATCGCTAGCTGCTAGTCAGTGACCATCGCTGACCACCACTCGCTGACTGTCGTCGATTACTATCAACCGCTACTTGCTTCTTACGACTAGTTCATCTGCATACCGACATTGTAACTCAAGAGATTGTGTAATTCTTTCTTGCTTGTGGGACAAGATGTTGTAATTGTAATCACCAAGTTTTAGTGGATCTCTCAGCTAGATTTGGCTCCGTGGTTTTTTCCTTTACTGGTTTTCTACATTCAAACTTCTAGTGTCTCTACTAATTGTTTTGTTTCATCTAAGTGTGTGTTGAATTATCATATAATACTAAAATGATAATCTGTTACTCTACCACCATGAATTTTTTAGCACACAACAGTTTAGCGTAGTTTGCGAGAAAAGAACATTACCATCACCAAAATACTTGCAAGACTTATTGTATAGTCGTTATGTGCAACATTCATAACAACAGAGCATCCCGCTTCAACACCCATAGTTTTAGAAGGCTGTAACGGAGCCAAGGGCGTCAGGCCTCTGCATCCTCCCACCCTGAAAGGTGTTACTCTGCTGGTGAAGGTGCCTCAGGTCCTTCTCTGGAAGACCAAGTATGCATAATGGAGAAGCCCCAACACGAGATCCTTTAGCTCTTATGACAGTCAATGGCCACACACCTAGATGGAGCTTACTTATTGCCAGTTCAATATCCAACCGGAAATACCCCACTCATTAAGGCAAAAGGAGGACCACCAGTCACGATTGCCTCTCTGACTGGAAACCAAGGCCTAGAGGCAAAAAATTGCTAAACAGTTTCCAGTAACATGGTCACGCAGGGCTCAAGTGTGGTCATGCCATTGTTCAAAGTGCAGCGGATCGGGGTCCGACGTGGCTACACCCGAGGCACGGTGTAATATGTCGTGCGCTCTATTTGTTCGGCGTTGTAACACTGTCCTCGGATATGGTTACGACATTCAAGGGACCTGAAGAGCTTTAGGGAGGCTTTTGGTGTGGTCACACCCAATGTAAGCATGGACACACCATCGATTGAGCATGGTCACACCAGAATAAGGCGTGATCACGCTAGACCCCATAAAATTTTGGCTTCCAGAAAAGTCCATCAAAAGGGTTTTGAGCCTCGGGGAACCTCTGGAGGCTCGTATATGAGCAGTTACGATTTTTAGAACTCCTTAAGGGCCGTGAACACATCTTGAAAGAGCTCGAGAAGGTGAACCGTACATGTGTCTGTGAGTACAATGATTATAATTGTGAAATTCTGCTGTCCGGATCTTAAGTTTAAGGCATGAACACGTAAGGAGCAACCTTGTCAACGACCTATGTCATGGGAATATCTGTATTTTCCAGGTACAATTTTGTCCCAGAGGAACGAACATCATCGAGAAGGAAATCAGTGGTGATGCTGGTTAGACCACGATCAACTCATAATACAGTTATAATAGTGTAAAACCCAACTATAGTGTTATGTTACTCGACGAAGATGTTCTACATATGTTGCATCAAAAATGGATGCTAACAGTTGCTTAATGTATACTAGCATTAACAACTTTTATATCCTATGCATTAAACCATAAGCATTTCATAGATGTTTTAAATATACATACATACATACATACATACATACATACATACATATATATATATTTTTTTTTAATATGTTCGAGACTTATATATATATATATATATATATATATATATATATATATAAACCAAATATCATATAAAATGTAAAGGACTCTAGATTTTGATATTTTCGGACGATAATATTGGTCTCGCCCAAAAATAAGTGGGCAACTGATCATGAAAAAATTTCTAACATCCAACACAAATTTTGAGGTATGACACTGCTCCGAGATAATCTTTTGAGCAAAAGATATTTAAACATGGATTAAAAGTCACCCATAACTCCAATTTCACCAAAATTATAGACAAACTGACCAGTCTGACGAGACAGACCCAATGATACCAAAATTGGTCAAATCTGAGTTAAATCAAACTTAGATCAACCCTATACCACTTTTAAAAGATTCTTGAGCACATTTGGAAGTTCAAATGAATGTCGAATAGGACAAGCTTATTATCGAATTGAGTGTCTCAGCAAGACAAATTCATAAAGCTCATGATCGCTCAATTCTGAGATCTTCAAGGCGATCAATGTTTATCAAATATCATTTGATGGAAGGAATTTCTTGAGGCTATCCAATCAAAGTGTTTCATATTCTGCTATTAATTGCAACAAAGACTCTATAAATAGAGCCCCACCCCTCTCTTGAAAAGGGAGGGAGAAGGACCTGAAAGCCTAAATAAGACTAAAGCTTAAAAAAGGAGCTAAAGTCCAGTCTTACCTCGTCGCCAATGGCCGCCGACCACCAGTCGTTAACCACTGCTAACCACCACTCTCCGACTGCCACCGATTACCATCGGTCCCCAACCATTTCTTATGATAAATTCATTCGTGCACTGACATTATAACTCAAGAGATGTGTAATACATTCTCGTCTGTGGGACACGAGGTTATAACTGTAATCATCATGTTATAATGAATCTCTTCAACTCGATCATACCCCAATATTTTTCCGTTGAAGGTTTTCCACGTAAAAACTTCAAATGTCTCTACTGATTATTTTCTTTCTTCTGAGCATATTGAATTCATATGCGAAGCTAAGACGGGTGATCCACTACTTACTCTACCCCCGTGAATCATATGCTTGATACCACATATTTCTTATATAATTGCATATCTAACAACTAAACATTCATATTTACATGCATATCATTCATTTCCTTAACGTTACATTAAAAATACCAGCATCATTATTTTTCTTAATTGAAATCCTCTTTTTCATGTATATGTTTATGATGCAAAGATGTTATAGTAAATATCAATTTCTAGGTGTTAATATCTAAATACATAAGAATCGTGTGTCATGTATATAAATTTTCCTTCAAATTTTGTGGAATTTAATTTTTAAATTTAAGGGATTTTTTCCCTAGAATTTAGGCCACCATTTAAAAGTATTTGATGCAAGTGAGTGAGAGGGCTTGTCATTCATGCTCTTCATATGCACCATAACAATTTTCAGTTTGTTAACAAATTTGAGTTTATTTACATTCAACCAGAACCTAAACAAATTGATATATTACATTTGTGGACTTAATTTTTAGCAATAGCTTAGTAGAGCTAAAAAGATTTAATGTCATGACAAATAACACAATTTTAGTTTCTGAAAACGTGATTTGCAGAATGTTCACAGTGTAAAATTAAAGGAGAAAAAATTACGTACGTAAGACGTTTGCAGAGCTACGTACATCAGAGACTATTCAGAGGATATTGAGGGGTTATAAGTATGCTACAAAAACGTTACAAACGCGGATATAACCCCCCAATACACTCTG